TATGTGAAATGGTTTCAAAATCTAGTATGTACAACATAACATTAGTTATTACTATAGTTTAATCTCAGAACACGGACATTTCAGTTTTGTTGAACTTTTCTCTTTGGTGGGGAAGCTGTATCTCATCCAGATCCTGTTGGGGACTTTAGTTTGATTTAGTTGGCAATAGAACTTATCACAGTAAGGAAACAGGCCAGGAAACATCATTTTTAATGGCACACCATGGAATAAATTCATTACATTTAAACATATCTGTTTACTGCCTTTCCCACCAGATTCTAAACTAGCAAGCAGGGATTATTTCTGTGTGGTTCTCCACTTAGCAAGTGCCTGGAATGTACTCAGGGTCAATAAATATTTATTTCAAATCAAGTGATGAATACAATCTTTTCTATTTTTTACAGAAAAAAAATTACCAGGTGGTGTTTTGTTTACTTAAAAGACAAGCTTCTCCAGAGTAGAACCCTACAGTCGGTCACCTTTACATGCCTAACGAGGCACAATAATTCACACAGAGCACAAGCTCAATGAACTTGAATAAATGAATAAGTGAAAGAATATGTGTGTTGGAGGCCACCAGTGGGTTCAAGTGAAGAGCTGCGGGATCCATACTCAAAGTTCTCGTAACAGGACATCACTGTAATTTTGGTTCGAGGCAAAGGAGAGACTCCTTCATCATTAACCTCAGGCCTGACCTACGGGATGAGATAATAAACCTGAATATCATGTCACATGACCCTGGGAAGGTAATTCAACCTCTTGCTTCAATTTCCATTTTAGGAACACGAGAGTAGCACATCTGTTCAAATTCTGTCTGAAGGCTGCCGAAGCCTGAGCTTCCAACAAGAAAGATGTCATGATAAGTACCTGCTCTTAGCCGGGGTTGGGAAACAGAAGGTTCTGGTGAATGAATAAAAGACTTTCGTTAATGTTAGTTACACAAAGATAGCTGTTTTTCAAAGAATGAGAATACTTGACTATAAATGAAAGTCCATTTTTCCACTTCCTAATTCTGTGGCTTTGGAGGCTCAGCCTCTCACAGCGTCTGTTTCCTTATTTATAAACTGGTGTTGATGATAGCATCTATCTTATAGAGCAGGGATTGGCAAACATTTCCGTAAAATTCCATACAGCAATGTTTTCTGGCTTTCTGGGACCTATGGTTTCTATAGCAACTACTCAACTCTGTAGTTTTAGCGTGAAAGCAGCCAGAGGCAATATACACATAAAAAGGCATGGATATGCTCCAATAAAAATTTATTTATGGGAACTGAAATTTGGGTTTCTGATGATTTTCACATAACACAAAATGTTACTCTCCTTTTGATTTTTTTCAACCATGTAATAACCACACACAGCTAAGGAACTGTACAGAAACAGGTGTCAGGTTAAACTTGGCCCTTGAGCCACAGTTTGCCATCCTCAGTAACAGAGATTCTATGAGGCTTAAGTGATGTCATAGTGAGGGCTCAATAAATGTCAGCTATTATCATCCTTATTGCTATTAATTATCTAAGTGAAATACAGAGTATGATGACAACCATGTAGATACATATGGAAAAAAATTGTGACATGTTAACAGTTATATTGAGATAACAAGATCTGGCTTAAAATGTTTTTTTAAAAAATAAAACATAAAATTATATTAGAACAAAAACATAATTTGACTAAAAACAGCCAACCCTGAAAACTGCTAACAGTAATTATTCTGATTATAAATTCTATCTTTCTTTCACAATTCAGAATGTTTCTTGGATATCCATTATGGCCAGGGATCAATGTTATGCATTAGTTACTACTGTATAAGACAATAGACATAGAAACCATAGGGTTATATCTACGCTGATTTTTATACCACACCTAAGAAACTGCTTTCCTAGTAGATCTACATTCTACTCTTCTTTGACCTCCTTATCTGTGTGTTTACTATTATAAAAACAAATAAGTCCATAATCTAAAGGGAGGGAAAGGAAAACACAGCCAACTACAGTACCATGGAGAAAAGGAGAGCAGCAGGAGCAGAAAGAGTGTCCAACCCAGTCTGGAAGGGCAGGTGGTTGTAGGTGGGTTGTTAAAGAGAGTTTCCTGGAGAGACGGAGATGCAGTTAAATTTTGAAGGGGGAGAGCAGGAAGCCAGAGTGTGAGAACATACTCCAGATAAGGGTGTCCCATGGGAAGGCAAAACAAGATAATGGCTGGAGGCAAGCAGAACGCTGCGGGATTATAATACGGGAGCTGAGTGTGGCTGCAGAGTGGAAGCTGACAGGACAGTGGGGAAGATGGTGCTAGAGAAGTAGACAAGGGTCTGTAGATCCTCTGTGTCAGCGATTTTCAATGGGTTTGCTGCAAGAATGTTTAAAACATGCAACATCTGACTATTTAGTTGGGGACACTGACGTCTATTTCCTTAGATTGTCAAATAAAGAAGATGACAACAACCAACACAAGAATGGCCATCTGGTGTGAATGAATCAAAATGATACCAAATTTTTTGTCAGATTGGCAAAATATATTTTTTTGATGTGCTGCAGACTTTTAGTGATCAGTTTATGTGTGCCATGAGGTGAAAAGGGTTGAAAATCACTGCTATATGCCATAGTCATGGTTTAGGATCGTATCCTAGTCATTAAATTGTCACTAGACTCATAAGCTGCAGTTATTGCACACTAAGATGGTAAAAACAATGTCCACCTAGCAGGATTAATGCTGGGGAGATTAAAAGAAATAGTGTATTAGGTCCAAATATACTTCAGGATATACTTTATCCTACTGAAATCGATCTATTCAGAAATTGTTATGAAATAACCTTCAAATGAAAGGTATATGGTTTTTCATAAAATATTGCAATTTCAAAACAATGCCTGCATTTGAGAGCCTCTAAGCTTTAGGAATTTTTCTACAAGTTGATGACAGATTCATGGAGGAGAATCTCCTGTGCAGACTGGTCTACGATGAAGACGAGGAAAAGTAAGCAGGAGTTTCAGTGCGGAGGCAGCCTCCTGACTGGCCTCTGCATTGCAAGGGTACGTGGACGCTGTTCACAATGCTACGTAAGAAAAAGCGCAAATAGAGGATCCATTCTGAATGTTTTGCTTGAGAATTCAAATTTCTACTTGTAATATATCAAAATAAATTTATCTATTAGTGAGAAATGTATCCTAATATGTTGATAAAATTATTTTTATTTGTGTTTATACTTCATCAATATAGAGCTATCTCTAATTCTTCAAATTGGGCCATGTTTTGATTCTATATGACTTTCTAATTTGCTTTGAAAGAGAAGAGGTAAATTAAAATTACATAAATGGGGATTATAGTTTAATCTTTGGATGATAAAAGTTGTTTTTCATTAATCATGGGAACATGATTTATGTCAGATTATTATTATATTTTCTTGAAAAAAGTTGGATATAAGCTAACAATTATTTAAAAATAATTTTTAAAATAACTCTTATGGCCCTGACCAGGTGGCTCAGCTGGTTGGAGCATCGTCCCATGCACCAAAAGGTTGTGGGTTTGATTACCGGTCAGGGCACACACCTAAGTTGCAGGTTCAATCCCTTGTCAGGGCACATACAGGAGGCAACCAGCCAATGTTTCTCTCTCATGTTGATTTTTTTCTCTCTCTCCCTTCATCTCTCTCTAAAATTAATAAACATATCCTTGGGTAAGGAATTAAAAATAAAACTCTTATACTTAAATATTGGAAATAGCAGCCCAAATGGTTAGGGTCAGAAGCAAAATTTACATGCTAGGATTGCTACTGTTTTATATTTGTTGTCTGTAAAAAAAAGCTATTGTACTTGCAAACCACAAACATCCAGGGTTAGAAAGTGGAATTTTAAAGAAGTGCATCAGTACATTCCTTTTTTAAAAAAAGGTTTTATTTATTTATTTTTTAGGGAGGGAAAGGGAGGGAGAAAGAGAAGGAGAGGAACACCAAGGTGTGGTTGCCTCTCTCACACCCCTCACTGGGAACCTGGCCTGCAACCTAGGCATATGCCCTGACTGGGAATCGAAATGGTGACCCTTTGATTCACTGGCCAGAACTCAACCACTGAGCCACACCAGCAGGACATGCATCAATACATTCCGCGAGAGGGAAGATTCGGTTTCAGAGTCATAATGTAAATCTAGTCCAGCGCTTCTGGCCTCTGTCCTACAGGACACACTGGCTCCTGTTCCTACCCACAGGGACTAACGTACCATACCCTTCAGTCCCTTGGAGATTGTTAAGAAGGAAAGTCTGTTATCTGTTTCCTAAGTTAATTGATCTCAGCACTGAATAATTTGTTTTGTTTTCTTCTCAATGGCCGTCAAAAAGAAATGGCATGAAAATATTAAAAAATTGATTTATCTCTTCAGGAGACCAAATGCAATATGCAACAAGAGCCCCCCAAAATGTACTTACTACGTTTTGCCCAACTAATTCTACTTCTGGGAAGAAAACAAGCAGAGGCATTATGCTATGGGAAAGACAAACAACTGGAAACAAACTTAAAATGCCCACTAATTGGAGAGTGGTTAGACAACCCAGAATTATAAACTGACAAAATATTATGCAGCTACTTAAAAGGACACAAACAATGGCTATGAAAATACCTTACAAAATTTGTATAAAATAATGCTAAATGCATTGTATATGTATATATTGATTGCAAAATGCAGAAAGTTTGCCTTTATGTAATACTGAAGGTCAGAATTCAGGGGACTATGAAAAGTAGCCGGTCTACACTGCATATGGTGTTGCTTTTGAGCAGATGATTGGGGGCAGTCTTTCAAATAGTGAAAAATGCTGCTGAGGACAACATATCACTTATGTTTTCTCACTTTCTTTCTCTTTCTTTTTAAAATATGGCCCCAAAAGATGACCTGAACCTTGTATTGTCTATTTTCTCTCATCTCATTTCCCAAAGGAAATGTTTTATTTCTCCTGATAAACGTTATGAACCCATTTATTCAATAATTGGACTTAAGTCATTAGACATTCAGTTACTCACCCTTTGACTCGCCCATGAAGCTCCTTCCTGCTTAGAGAGGACGCACTCCCCCTTTTCTTCAATGAATGACCCATTCTGTCTTTAACAATGTCTGACATCACTGTAACCTACGGGGGAAAATCCCGTTAAAACAACAGACGAAAGATCTGAAATTGTTTTACTTAGTATAACACAGAGATTCATTTTAAATAAAGCACACAACTACTTTTTCTACCATTTTTGGATGGGGAAGTGGGGTTTCCTTCAGAGTGATTTTTAATGTATGCTGTTATTCTGGTCAATACAACTGGAACTATAATGACCCTGACAACTTTTATTTATGCAATAGTATACTTACTTCACATAAGCAGATACTAAACCACAGCAAAGATGCTAAACTGTAGAAGAGGTTAAGGTCATTGAGAAAAGAGAGCCACATGTAGAAGAAAGATGTTATCCCACACCAGAAATCAATAATTTTTATTGCCCTTTTATTCTTTTTTTAAAAAGATTTTATTTATTTATTTTTAGAGAGGGAAGAGAGGGAGAAAGAGAGAGAGAGAGAGAGAGAAACATGAAAGTGGGGTTCTTCAGGGTCATGGCCTGCAGCCCAGGCATGTACCCTGCCTGGGAATCGAACCTGTGACACTTTGGTTCGTAGCCCGTGCTCAATCCACTGAGCTACGCCAGCCAGGGCACCCTTTTATTCTTGATAAAGTTTTGCTAATAAGTATTTGTTGTTGCTGCTGTTCCTTTAAAAATTAAAATTAATTGTCTTCCCCAAAGGGTATTTTTTCCAGCAACCATGATTTACTTTGTAAAGAGTAAACAGAACTTTAACTCAGTAATTTGCTGGAACAACTATCTCCTTCTCACAACTGCTAGTTTAAAAGCTGGTGGTGGGAATGGACTTCCCAGACCTTAGACTATAACTCTACTGCCCTTCTGCCTACATATGAATTTAGACAGTCATTAAAATTATTTTATAATTTCATCTGTAAACCGGAGGGCCCCAACAAGGAGACACTGGGCCTAGCGCTAAGACAGAACGAGCACAGGGTCTCTGCCGTGGAGGTGCTGGCAGCCGGGTGGGCAGAGAACACCACCTGCAGCCCAGGGAGCCCAGCGCCGGGGCAGAGGCAGACGAAGGGTCCTGAAGGGCACGCGAATGTGGCAGAAGTGTATTGTGTCCTCAGAAGGGAGCCAGTGGTCTGTGTGTGTGTGTGATTGTGTGCCTGTGTGTGAGGGTGTGTACATGAGTGTGTGTACACTTTGTATGTGTGCCTGTGAGGTCTGTCTGTGGGCATGTGCTTGTATGTGAGCTTGAGTCCACATGAGTGTGTGAAGCTGTGTGTATCGGTGTGAGTGTTGTGTACATGAATGTAAGTATAAATGTGTGCCTGGGTATACCCAAGTGCATCTCTGTATGCACATCTGTATGAATGAGTGATTATCTGTGTGTACCTGAGTGTGTGCCTTTGTGAGTGTGTGTGAACCTTTGTGTGTGATGTGTCTATGTGCTGAATGTACGTGTGAACCTGTGTGAGCATCTGCTTGCATGTGCTTGTATGTATGAGCATCTATACATGTGTGTGCTTGTGTGTGTGTGTATGAGTGTGTGAGCATCTGCGTGTGTGCACATGTCTGTGTGAGTGTGTCTATGTGTGTGGAAAAGGCGCACTGAGAACAAGTGGATCATTCAGGTTCCTATCCAAAGGGACACCTGCAGACCTCCGCTGCTCACCTATTTCCCAAGCTGCCCGGAAGGCTAGAGTTGGTACCTGGAGGCCCAAAGGGCTTGCGGCTGCCTGCAGTCGCAGGGCTGGCCTCTGGGAGACTTGAGCGGGAGACGGCTGCCCCAGAAGCAGACCGGGCTGGACGGCTCTGCGCTGGGCATCACAGTAAAGCCCAGACATGCAGGGGGGAGGGTGGGGAGGGTGGCCAGAGACCAGAACCCACTTCCAGTTCCCAAATTTGAGCCAAATTTGAGAACTGTTCTTATTGTTGGGGGAAAGAGGAGTAAGGCGTCACAGAAGTTGTGACCAATGCAGGCAGGCCATTTCTCAACACAGGGCCCTCCCTTCTCTGTCCCTGCGGTGCTCAAACTTGCAGTCCTCTTTCCCCTCTCGCTCCTCCCCCCCCCCCCCACCCCGTGCACTGCGGGAAGGGCTCACGCACTCACCTACACTCACGTACCGTGAGGCAACAGCTGCAAGGGTGCCTCGGCCGGCCCGGGTCTCCCACACCTTCTGCTCCTCCACTGCAGGCACCAGCGCAGCGCGAGGCTCCCTGCTCTTCGGCCTCCCTTGCAGCCCCCTGGACTCCGCGCCCTGTCTCCAGGGTGACCTCCTCCAAACAGAGCCCTCCGCCCTCCCCTGGCCGAGAGTAGCTGCGTGGTCCTCTGAGGTGCACAAGGGATGTCAAGGACTCATTGTCACAGCCCAGAGGGCCCCCCCCCCACCCGAAGCTAGGCTGCTCCCTGGAGTGGCTGCGAGTGGGAGGGGAACCGGTTCATGCTAGACCGAGGAGGACACCTGAAACTCAAGCTGCAGCCCCGCAAGGCCTCACCCAGTTCTTTCTCCCGCAGATGTCAGCGGCAGGAGTGGGAAATGCTGTGGTTTCCTACGACCAGAAATCCGAGGCGCAAAGAAAAAGTAAAGCAATGCCCCCACAATCCTGCCGCTGCTTCCCAACACCCGCTTTCCAAGGCACAGTTGGTTGATAACAGGGATAATTTAGTGAGAGTTTACATTTACCTGGTTCTGGAAAACAGGTTTTGCTTTATTTAATCTTCCTAACGGGTCTTTCAGAGAGTTGTTCTCCCTTTATAGATTTAAAAAGTGGAGATTCTAAAATAACAAACAGTAAGCCCAGGGCCCCCAGGAACTCGCGGGCTCATCGGTGCTTTGCAAGCCGAATTCCTCCACACCACTCGTCCCAGCCCCTTAAAGTTTAAGCAGCTTTGAAATGGGTGTGGTTTGGGCTTAGGGACCTACTTGACATAACTAACAGGCCCTTTCTCCTTAATAACTATCCCCTTCCTGACTCCAGAACCCCTTCCCCAACGAAGAGCAAATGAAACCAAACCGAATGGATCCTCATGTAGCAGGCCGTGGTTGCAGGAACAAATAAGGTAGTGCTTCCAAGCACCCAGCCTGGCACACGCCCCTGGGTGAGTGCTCAATGCAGTTAGTATCAGCAGACAACAGCAATACACTGAGACCCCACTGGAGACCCTAAGGGTTATGCTAGTGTTTGAGAAAGGACAGTAACGTTTTCTGGTCTGTTGCCGTCCCTATTCACAGAAAGATGAGAACAGGAAAGGATTGTTTACTGAAGATCCACTACACACTAGGTAGGACTAGGGGACTGATAAATATTAGCTCATTTAATCTGTTCAATGGCCCTATGATAAGGGGATATCAATAACTCCATTCCTTTTTAAGATAAGGACATGAAGAATCAGTAACAAGCTCAAGTCTACCATTAAATTACAGACCTGGGGTTTGTCCCACTACAAAGCCCTTGCACTGTGCCAGGGTTTTTTTCCCACCCTAAACCCGAAATCGAATTTTCCAGAATGTGGGCAAAATTGTTAAGAGGCTGGTATAATAAAAAGGGTTCACCACTGAATTTGTTTTTATGTTTCTCATTTATTTTTTCCAAAAAAAATCACATTTAAATAACCACTTCTTCAGATATTTCATCTTGTTTGCACATATAATTAAACTTTGTACTGAAATGGGAACCCTAGTTGCAATAATGTGCCAAGATAAATAATTGCATATTCAGGATTTTGTGACATGGGTGATGGGGAAAGTCATGAAGGAAAAGAAACATTTGTAAAATCATTACCTACAAAAAAAAAAAAAACAATCTTCACACCTTTTCTAATTTATAAGGCAAGTAAGGTTGAAATGTTATCATGTTATCTTCAGCGAGTCAATACCACACCTTCCTATCACGGTTGCTCTATAGGGAGCTTTGCTGCAGGTCTGTGAAGGAACGAGTGGTCGCTTTCTTTGCTGGTTTTGCCTTGAGCACAGCAGAGAAGCAGTGAAGCTTCCGCCACAGACAGAGCAGTCACGGCTGTAAGAACCAAGTGTTCTCTGCTGAATTACACAAGAAGGAAAAAGAGCCACCCATTGACATTTTAAGTTTAAAAAGCATACTTGAGCATTTTAACCCACGATTCTCTTTATAAATATTTTATAGCAAGGCATTTTGTGAAATTATATGCCCCATAACAAGATCACAAATTCAGTTAATGTTTGCTTTGAAGATCATGGAGAACTCTCAATAAAGGCCACCAACTCAAAACATGGTATATACTAACAGCACTTCCCGTAAGACAACTGACTGAGTTTTATTAGGTTTAGAAACACAGCAAAATTCCTCAGAGACTCTTTTCTTAGTTTCTCTTAATTGTTAAAAACAAAACAAAACAAAACATGCCTTACATTGTCACTGCATAGGCACGAAAGTTAAAATTTGATCATTTCATTCATACAGCTCTTTCTCTATACACAGTGAAAACATTTCAAAATTATTTTTATATTAAAACCCAATAATATTCAAACAGTTTAAAAGGCCGGTTCTAGAAATTACTGCTTGCCCTGTAGTTCTGCTCATATATCAGCATATCGACACTTGGCTTTTTCAAGTGTTTCAGAATTATTCAGCAGCAATTTTCCAACTCCCTTATATTGAGAGAGATCAGACAGGAACCAATCTCTTTCATTTAATAAAGCAAGACTGACCTGCAAAGTCAACAGAGCTATAAGAATCATCATTCTAGCATCTCATAGAAAAGATAAAAAGTCTGGCTTTGGACTTGGGGGCATTGATCCCAAATGATAGTCATTTGGTGCATCATCTAAAATAGTTTGAGGTAATGATGTGTGAATACACCAAACATTTGTTTTGCCCCCCAAAAAGAAAAAATGAAAATGTTAGTGAAATACTATACAATTGAACAAGTGAGGTGGAATTAACATTTGCATAATACACTCATTCAATTAAATATTTTAAGATGATAAAAAGCTTGTGATCTACCAAGCTGATTCAGACACTCTGAATGAACACTGAACTATATTTAGAGAAATAGTTATTTAGCTCTACTCTTTTCTGTCTGAAAATAGTTTATTCAGGAATTTTTTAAAGGAACTTTGTTGATTGGGCAAAACAATTGATTTGAAAAACAAAGCAAAGCAAAAAAAAATTGTGAAATGCTCATTAGTAGAGGACAGAATCCGCAGACTCTCTGCTAACCAGTGCATTCTTCGTAGCTTAACTAAAACGCTTTTCATATAATTTCTAGTGGGATTATATAAAAATACTGTCAGCATTAATCTATCATGATTTAATTTCTTAAAGCTGTTTAAAAAATATTAGCAAAGATTGCTCACAAGCTTTAATTCCACTCTGCAAGGATCTAGAACATGTTCAACAGATGGTGGTCTGATGTGGTCATAGTTGCAGAACTTGAAAATCATACTTAAAATATTAAAACCATTTCATTGTTTTGTTTCAAATACTTTAGGTGATAAAGTTAAATTTACTATGATATACTAATGAAATTTAAATTCATTTGAAATGGCAGGAACATCCTTTCAAGTTGAAACAAAAAACTAGTGCATCCATTCAAAACATTGCTGGTTATATTATTTGCAGTTGTTGAAAAATATGTAAACTGGTGTTAAAACTTTTCTGAATTCTTCAAGGTGTGTATAGAAAAATGTTTTCTTGATCCAATAACTTTCTTAAGTTTCATATACTAACATTTATCATCAATGTCCAAGACGTGGAGACTGTGATATAGAATCATTTATTCTCAAAACACAATGAACATTTGCCAGAACCAGTGTAACTGAACATGGTTTGGAAAATACTGGAATGCTGGTGAACACAGTAGAAGTATCCTGGGCTTATTTTCTTTTAGACATTAAGGAACACATAAAAATATATTTGCTTTTCATTTAACTATCTTTTAAGGTTAAACAGGCAATGTATTTAGAACAGACAATGTTACTCTAGGGATAGACAGGGGCAATCAGAAACACTAAATCAAAGGAAAAATAATCTTGGAAATTAAACCGAGAGAATAGGTTTTTTATACCCAGGTGAATGTCAACAAGGAGGTGCCTTTCTTTCATAAGAATACTCATTTAGGCTATAAATCAGATATTAAATATAAGGGACAATCAAGAGGTCTGATCACGGTCAACTCAATAGATACTAAATTTTGATATTCCTTCAAGAAGGATATTTGGATTTCAATTATATATTAAAAATGTAACTCTAGCCTACAGAAGACAGAACATAAAAGCAATAACAAAAGAGAGAAGCTAGTGGGTTTTTCATTGTTGTTTTTGTTTGTTTTTAATATTTGGAGACTTAGACATTGTATTCCCCACTCACTTTTCCTCCATACATCTCATGCACCAAAATTAATGATATCCAGTTCAATTCATGAGTGAGTGAATGTCATTTAAATGTTATTTGCCAAATGGAAAAAAAAAAGGAGCAGGAAAATACAACAGAGCTTCGAAAGAGAAGTGAGCACAGTCAAAAAGGGTGGGCGGGTGATCAGAACAGTCTTTGTTCAGTGTAACATGAATTGATGTGTTTATATCACAATTTGACTCCTTTCAAGAAAACATGTTTACTTGTAATATTAACTTTTAAAGCAATATCTAGAGATCACCCTTATTTTGATATCATAAAAATTATGCTTCCATTTAAAAAATTGATAACCATAAACCATGTATAAAATGAGTACATTTGGATTGAATGGAACTTTGTCAAATGCATAATCTTTTGGAAAAAAGAAAGCTTAATAAAAAACAAACCCACACACACTCATCCTCTTAGTAGATATTTGCACATTTTATAGTGTCATTCACTTTCATTGATAGCCTACAATTGTTTTGGGAAAAAAATAAAAGATCAGTGCAACTCTTTTTGAAGGACACTAGTCCGTGCTTATAAAGCATCCAGTTCAAAGGTCTGCAAGATAAATGGGTCAATCTCCAAGTTAGACATCTGGGTTTCCCTTGCGAGGAGACATTTGTTAGGACTTTGTGTTTGGAATGAACCACTGCTAACAACCTCTCTGCTGCTGCTTCTAATCTTTCAAGACATTGAGGAAAAGGACAGAAACATGGAAATGAGAGGAGGCATTGTAGGTCACTTTGAGACAGATAGCAAAACAGCAGAGCTGTAAGGAAAAGATAAGAGACTCCTAGAAAAAACCCTTTTTATATTTCTTTTTTAAGATTGAAGGATCTTCAATGGGCTGAGAAAAAGAAATTCACTAGAAAAAAATGGTATTTGACTTATAACTGAATGTTTAAAATCTGATATAATGTCAGAACTAAGAAGGGCCTGAGAGACCTATGAGGGCAGTGATTCTCAAATTTTGGGGACTTGTCAAAATACGTATTCCTAAACCCCCTTTCTAGACATTTATTTATTCAGTATAAATTTATCAATGCCAACTATCTTTGGGGCTCTGGACATATAGTTGTGACTAAGCCAGAATCATTGCCCTTTTAAAATAAATGATAATACAAGTGATCCATGTAACATACTTTGAGAAACATACTTTTCCCAACAGTTTTGCTACTGGGTTATCCTGATTTTGATACTAATTTTTCATAGCACCTTTACCTTGGCATCAAGTAGAGTATGTATAGTAAAATAAAACAAAAGAACTTAGCCCTGGCTGGTGTAGTTCAGTGGATTGAGCATGGGCCTGCAAACCAAAGGGTGGCCAGTCCAGGGCACATGCCTGGGTTGCAGGCCAGGTCCCCACTAGGGGGCGTGTGAGAGAGGCAACCACACATTGATGTTTCTCTCCCTCTCTTTCTCCTTCCCTTCCCTTCTGCCTAAAAAAAATAAATAAATAAAACAAAAGAATTTATATCCCAGAATGAATGAGGAAAAACAGGTCAGGCGTTCCCTCTGCAGTCAAAATAACTAGGCTGCTTCCAGCTGCTGTGTAACTTGGGCAAATTAATTACTCTGTCTGGGCCTGTGTCACCATTTGTAAAAAGAGGAATTAAAAAGAATATCTACAATTTGGGGTCAATAGAAGCATTAAACAAGCTAATATCTGTAGTGACTAGTACATGGTAAGCACTCAGTAAATAATTTTTATTGTATATCAGTTAGTTACTGTGATTGTACAAGTGTCCCTGTAAAGTCCCCAAAGGAGGATCTACCTGAGTCAACTAGAATCACGAAACTTCAGAGGTGGCAGAAACTTGACAGATCACTGGAGTGTTACTATGGTGTTGAAACAGTGCTGGGGGAGGAGCTGGTGGCGGGGTGAAGGTGAGGGGGCAGATTTACACTGCTGAAGGAACTCCGTTGTTTTGGGCTGTTTTGCCTAACAGGACTCCATGAGCAATTCTAGCAGAAAAACTTCCCACAGTTAAGAAAAGCTTGAAAACCACAGGCAATCCCAAGCCCTCATTCTAAGAATGCTGAAAAGGACAGTGGTTTGTCTAAGGTCACACAGTACAGGTCAGTGTCAGTGCTAATGTAGTTACCAGGCTTCTTTGAAAAGGAGAAATGAAAATACGTATAATCTGGGCCTCAAACACTTTGTAGATGGAGATGGAGTAAAAACACATGAATCATTTGTGGTTTGACTTTCTGGGCTACTCTCTACAGCCCACTTGAAACAATTGAAACGTGGCCATTCTTTCTTTACAGGTGAAACAGAGTCCGAAATACCATGCAGTGAATTTTCATTTTGGCAGTAGGTGTAGAGAAGAATAGAGCTTTACAAATAATTAAAAATTTAATTCTTAGAAATGATCAATTCCAATTATGATAAAATTCAGACTAATTGGTGATTAAGAATTTATTTTGAAAATATCATGAAAATATGGAATTTATTTGAAAAGAAAAACATACTTTCCATTTTGCCAAAATAAAGCAGTATCATTCATACTTTGTATCTTGTCAGAGGAGAAACTTTTAAAATCATAATGCTCAGGACATGGTGTTCTGGTTGACAAGCACCCCTTTGATTTTAATCCATAGTATTGAAAATCTTAATAATCGCAGCCCATTTTGTTCTGTTTTAGGAGTTGATAATAATAAGCCTGACAGTGTTTCTTTTATAACTGAGACCCTTGAATTGTCTAGAATCATTTTTTCTAACAGGAATTCTTATTGTGCAGTACTAACAGGAGATTATAAACTATATGAGTAAAATAGAAACACGAAAATCTCCCTGACATGAGTTTAATGTGTTCTTATTAGACCTATTTTTTGAAAGGAGATGGATACATCCTCCATCAAGGTTTGGTTATTCAAGGGTTAGAAATTCTGAAATCGCTGGTTTCCATTCTGTGTCACAGACTAAGTAAGGGTTTGTAGGAATGTCGTCAAAGTTTCCGATTTTAGTTCTTGGGACCATGTGAATAATGTTAGAAATGACAGTAATCTGTGTTTTAAATTATAATTTTACAACATCAACAAAACTATTCTTTGACAAAAAATCCTTGTGTTGAATTACTAATTCACTCCAGAACTATATAAAATAAAATAAAATAAAATATAAAGAGCAAGACATGAGAGCAGTAATATTTACACATTTTTAATATGCGCTTTGTGTTAATTTTCAGTATGTTTTTTTCCATGAATTGATTACTTAAAAACACATTTTTATGTTCACATAAGTGGATAATTCCCAATTTTCTGCTGCTTACTTTCCACTGGTTTTAGTGTTTGAAATTTGCCCATGTTTCCTGGGATTTAAAAGTTTCTACTTTCTATTTTGGTTTCAAAATAAAATTGAATATCTTTACTCAAAATGAATATATTAATTGTTTGTTTAGAAGACTTCAACACAAGACTTGAGGGGCCAATTGAGAGTATTCTTCTAACGTAAAACAGAGCAGTTCTGGGTAGCAAACACTCACTGAGAAGTGCAAATATTCATTTTAAAAGTTCTACCATAAACAACTGCCAGTCACATTCTCATTTTAAGAGCAGGACCTACACATTTTAATGTGATTCTAAAATTTAAAGGGGCTAAAGATTCTGTGTCAAATATGAGTAAATGTAAAGTAAAATTTAGCAACTAATGACAAACACTTAAAATTACAGTAACTTAATGATATAATCTAGAATAGAAATTTGCTTATATTTAAAATAAGTTCTATGACTTGAAGGAAGATTCATGTTTTCAGATTGTAAAGGAAGAGGGTTTTACAGCCGGGATCCCTGAAGAAGTGCTTCTCTATTCTGAATGCCTGTACTGTGAGGCCAAATTCAGTAATGGAAGTTTTTATTATATCTTGCAACGATAAAATCATAGCACATTTTTGATAACTCTCTTTTTGATTCCCCAAGAACGGCAAAGATTTATAATTTCATACAATGAATCTTATCTAAAAGGAATTTATTGCACAATTATGTGGATAGAATTTCATTTATAAAGCTTATTTTCTCCTTCCTGAATGTTATAAATAATTTTGATTAAAATTCTCCCTCTGGATTTAAACAGGGGACAAAATTTTTTGTGTGTGAGATTTCTAGTCTCCATCTCAGATTCCTGTGTGTGAAGGGGCAGATACATGGACCCGTGCTGCATGCTAGATGGGAGAAATTCTGTTCAGAGTAATTGCACAAAAGTTGTCAACCAGTTCCACTATGGAAATCTCGATGTTTTAAAATCACAATTTTGATTGTAGTCTGACCGATTATTCAACAGTCTCTACATCTGCTAAATTGTAGAGACAGGGGGAAATAGTTAAGATGTCAACATCTTTACTCTTGATTATAATTTCATATACTTAAACTTTAAATATGAATTGCTTTCCCTTTTTACACAAGTTATAAAAATAAGAGGCCCTGTTTACACAGTTTGCATTTTTATGAAATTTGCAGTTTGAAAAAAAAGCTTTTTAAAAAGTGGTAATTAATGCTTTTTTTTGAATATGCTGTAACCTTAGAATTTTTTTGAAATAGTTTCTGAATTTAACCCACTAAACATCTGAAGATAGAATTTTTATGTAGCACTAGAATAAAACATACTAAGGACTGAAGAAAAGAAGTTTTTTTCCTGGTTCCACTTAGTTCTCTTTGTATGTGGCACCCCCTTTATGATAGCTATCAATATTATATTTAAATTTTATATATTGACAAAATTCAGTCTACCTCTGTAAGCACTGTGCCATTCAACAGTACTACTATTAAATTTACATACCACAGTTTAAATTACATCCATTTCAGGAATGGTAAAATGCTAGAACTCAAGTGTCTAACGACCTTACTGGAATGAGTACAATTTACAAATACAATAATTACATTTTAAAACCATAACAATATTACACCTAGAAGTAAATACTGTAGGACTGGTCATCATGGTATTGTGTGAGGGAATCACTGCTGAAAAGTCAAGGGCATTTCCAGCAGATTTATCCCAAGTGCAGATTTTGATTTGTTTTCATCAAACCAAAATGGAAACTTGTGTCTCATACAACAGTTCTCCATTATATGAATCCTCCAAATTCTTGCATAATGTTTTATTAGTTATCTGCCAAGTATTTTCCTGCAAAACAAAACAACATATCAACAGGTTACCTACTAGTTCAGTAATGCGACTGCTACATGGCTGGTGTTTCTTTTCCCCCCTGCCTTACTTCTCGGAGCCACACACGGTACGCTTGAGGGGTGCAATGCTAATACAAGAGGCATCACATTTTCTAAGTTTTCAATTTTCCAGAAGTTAGTTGCCTTTTCACATATCCATATATAAACATTTTTGCGGAAGTTTGAGTTTTTCCCAGAATAGGTTGGGAGATTTCTTCCCAGATGTAAGAATCCAACTTATTATTATAAGAAGAGTGGCCATAAAATTACTTTCCAACCTGGGTCATTTCTGAGAGTGAAAGGGGTATAATTAGTGATTACATCAATACAGCAGGTATAAAAACAGGACTTATCCCAATAAATCATTGACAAGTATAAGGAATAGGGAATCCCCTGCTGACAAACAATCTCAGGTGCCAAAACCCTATCTCACAGATCACACTGGCTCACAGGCAGCAAGATTCAATATCTGGGATTCTTTAAGGTTCTTATAAAAGAGGAAGCTGTAGCCTCTGAAATCTCAGCTGAGCCTGACAAATCTAAACTCTATGAAGTTCTTTCTACTGGAGAAGAAACGTTTTCAGGTAAGAGATAAATGCCAAGGCAAAGAACATTTATCTTACTTGTCAATATAACCAATTTAGGATTTACTACATTAACCTCAGCATACACATCTATATAATGGGAATTACTGGTTGGCCCACATAGTTGTGATAAGTAGCTAGGGCCTTCCTAATTCCTAATTTCTAGTCCGCTCTCCTAGGTTTTCTTCATTTAATGACCGGTTTGCTTTCTTGGATACGGAAAGCATTTTGATGGTTGCCACAGGGAGGGGTGTGTGAGGGAATGGGTATAGAGGTGAGAGGATTAAGAAGTACAAATAGGTAGTTACAGAATAGTCATGGAGATGTAAAGTACAGTATAGGATATGGAGAAGCCAAAGAATTTATATGAATGACCCATGGACATGAACAATGGTAGGGGGACTGCCTGAGGGAGTAGTGCTGGGTGGGTGCTGGGTGGAGGGAAGCAAGGGGAGAAAAATCAGGTCAACTGTAATAGCATAATCAATAAAATATAATTAAAAAAACAATCAGTTTGCTTTCTAATTAGGATGGGAAGTGGGGATTGGGAGTGGAGAAGACAAGTAGGAAAAGATGAGAAAATCACACCCTATTCCTTCTCGAGGAAGAGTAGCTAAGGCAACATTATTTTTACAAATGAAACACACAAGATACACACTTACCTGCAGCAAACCGTTTTTTGATGAGTGAAAATCGATAGCCTGCTCCAACAAGTTCAATGTCACAGCCAGAAAGGGTGCTTCCTTCACTTGTAAACTGCACAACCAATGGGGAAGGCTTGCTTGGGCCTTCAGATAACTGAAATCTTGCCAACAAAGAACCCACACCTGTAAAAGGGGTATTGTAATAGTCAACAACATTCTGGATATAATTTTGGAAATTGCATTCAAAATTTAATATACAAAGCCTGACATTAGGGAATAGTATATGTTTTAGTGACAAAATGGTCATGGATAAGATTTATCATTAAATACTATGAGCGACTCTCTTTTTGCATACAGATTCAAGTATAATCGGTCAAATGGTACTTCAAAATTTGGGAGCATGCTACATGGTAGGTAATGGATTTTCCAATGTACGATTGGTATCAGAGGAAAATGAAACATATCTAAACTATTGGAGTGTGTAAAATCTGACACAGAGTGGAAACATGCCTCGTTAACAGCTTTTCTTTGCTGGGAATATGTTCTGTTTGATGTAGGGTTTGGGGCAGAAAAGGGGAAACAAGATTCATTGAAGGGTTACTTCCTTTTATTGGTTGAAATACATATATATGAAAATGAAGTAAAATATTTTGCTTGTTTGTAGTGCTAAAATATACTTTGGTTAATAGGTGCCTGATCCTTGCAAGTTATTTTAGCCTTAGATACTAAATAAAGTAAGCCTGCAATCACATTACCTCCATTTTCTGACTTCAAAGAAATGTCGGGAATTTTCCACAATATTCTTTGTTGTTCAGCATTCCTAAAAGTAAAATAGGTAAAAGGCTTTTGCATATGTAAGGTGTTTTGTTTAACAATGCCATATTTTTCCAGATATCTATCTACCTACCTGCCTATCCATCCATCCATCCATCCATCCATCCATCTATCTACCCAGCCATCCATTCATCCATCCACACATAAGTTCTCTCCTTTCCTCTTCCTTATTGTAACCAGCCACAGCACTGTCAGATAGGAAAATATTTAGAGGACAATGTAGTTGGCTCTTTAAAGCACACCTACTGAAAAAATAGGAAGGGTTAGTTAATCAGTTCAAGTAACTTAGATTGGAGCTGTCATATGGCTGATAGTCATTTTTTTAGTGTTCTATGTTTTGCTTTTGACGACCATATGGAAAACCTAGAGCATTTTTTTCCCCCTAAGAGAGTAATTCCTTCTTAGCAGCTACTATTGGTACTCAGTGTCTGTTCAGTTTCTGTTCCCATACCTTCTCTAGTGTGCCATTTTGTAGTCCAGAGGGTACAAAACCAAATGCTGCGTTTCTCAGACTTCCCTGTAGTCAGGGCCCTAGAGGCAGGTTAGACTTCACCAGTTACACGCACTGCTTGAGAGCTGGAGGACAGGAGGAGGGGGAGGCTATTTGCCCACTGCTCTCTCAGCCCTTTTCTGCTGCCCGAAACCCGAGAGGTGGCGATCTTCTAAGTGCAGTGCTCTAGGCCAGCCCCCAGTTTTGCGAGTGCTGAAAAGTAGTAAAGGTGGAGCCGGCAGGAGCTCTCTCATCCTTGAGTCAGAGTGACAGCGCTGGGTTCTTGAATTCAGTGGCTCCACTGGCAGCCTTCTGATTTTTCTTCTTGGTTGCGCCAGAAGTAAGCAGCTTCTCTGGCCACCAGTTCCACTGTCTTCTGGGAAACATGCCTTACGATCCCCCCCTGCAGCTTGTTTTTCTAGTACTTCCACCATGTACGTAGGAGCATCTAAATCCCTGTGTTAAACCATTTTCTGCTTAAAACAGGGCCCCTGGTTCCTGTTTCCTCCCCTGAACCCTGACACACAGGCCTGCTGTGACCTTCAGGAAGGGAACACCCATGCTAAGGAGCCTGTAATCCCTTTGTCCAGAAGGAGCTCTTTGGGAAGCGGAAGGGGGTTAGGGCTCCTTACCAGACTGCTGGGGGGAGCACGGCCTGGAGCTTGGTCACTCCTCCGTCTATGGGGACCAGGAACTGCACATTGTTGAGAGCCACAGCGGTCGTCATTGCATCTGTGTTGTATTTGTAATCTATGCGCAGGTCAGTGCTTGTGGGCTCACACCGCCAGTTCACTGCCAGGTTCAGGGGTGTGGACTGAATGCCCTGGGCAGACACCTTGCCAAATGACAGGAAAGAGAATATTTAAGGCTTGATCATTAATCTGAAACAAACCAGAAACTATGATGGTCTCCCACTGGAATATTCTTAGATATCAAAATGTCATCACATTGTTTGTGTTGCTCACAAACGAGCTCTCACTAAAAACCACTGTGAAGGGTGCCATGTGAGAGAAAGCTGGTGCTGTGGGGAAACTGGTACAGATTACAAAATAAAATAAATTACTAAAATCTCTATAGCACTTTAGAGTTTAGAATGCACTTTATGTCAGGAGGTGGTAGGAGAGGCCAAGGTGTTAGACAGTTCTGGGTGTGAGTTCTGATTGCCACTTACAAGTCGAGGGATCCTGAACCCATTACCAAATCTCTCTGAGCCTCAGTTATTTCCTCATCTTCCAACTGGGAATTATAACAATAGTATTTACCCATAGAGTTGTCAGGCAGAGTGAAGGAGGTGTTCATGTGAAACACAGCAGAGTGCCTAGCGCATAACTAGTGAATAGTGTTTTAATTCACATTACGTATTGATATTATTATCATTGCTGCCCTTCATGAAAAACCAGTGAGTTAGACACAGCAGGTTATTGATACTCCTTTGGGGCTTGTCAAGGCAAGGACTGGAATGCAGGTCCTCTAACGGGAAGTACAGCATTCGACTGACTATTGTCTAGTTAGAATTGACTGTGATTTTGACCAAGAACCGGGTTTGAAGACTTAACAAAAATTTATTTTAGCTAAAGCCAATAATATCAACTTGAGTTTTAGGCCCACAATGAGAAAACTCACAATGTTATTTATTATTCCTTGATCATTCACTGTGAGGATGAATAGCACTAGGAGATTCTCCTTTCGCAAATACATGCACACAGCAGGGGCCATATGGGTGGTGTCCATGCCCTTGCAGTTTTACTCATGGAGTATGTGTTTTGCTGATTTTCAAGACTATAAACAGCTCTCTACTGGCCTACCGATGTCTGCACGTTTGGACATCATGGGGGAGCGGCCCGAGGGCAGGCTGAGCTCACAAGGCAGGAGTGCCTGCTGCAGAAACAAGCCCAGAAATGGGTTCTTTCATAAAATGACAGGCATGGCTTTTGAGGACAACTTTAGTTAGGTAATCATTATAATGGTTTTTTAAACTTTAAATATTTTTAACAGCACAATCCTCTGCCAATGAACTTTTATTTAGGAACCTATTCTATTTAAGGTAGATCAAAAGCAGAGCCGTCTCCTGCTGTTTTTGCACCCTGTCCTCTGCAGGGGTTTGCAAGTGGATAGTAGTTTTCTATTCAGCGAGGTGCTTTCTGGCTATGCGAGGGTATGTTTTTGACTGTCCCAGTTTTGATTACTGGGAGTTGGGGATGCTACTGGTGACCAGAAACTAAAAAGGCTGCAATTTCAGGGCAATCCCACAAAAAACTCTAGCTGTGCCTCAATTCCTTGCATAGTTGAAAACAACACATTTCACCAAGAGATTCCTCAGAAGACATCTGAACACAAAAATAACATGCCTAGGGCCACTTACATTTTCCAAAGTACTTTGAAATATATTAGGCAATTAGCTCCTCACAACAGCCTCGGGGGGAAAAAACTAGGTAGGAGTCATAATTATCCTTAACTGCAGGTGAGGAAGCTAAGGTTCAGGGAGATGAAGTGCTCAAGGTCAGTGACCAGCAGGAAGCGGACTTCATTCCAGAAGTTAATCTTCTTGCTGACACTTTAATATTTACACACCAAGCTCATAGGTGAATTCTATTTTCTAGGCTCACTTAATGACAAATATGCATACTAAAAAAATTCTCATAGGATTTAAAATTTCAAAAAAATTAATCTGAGTTGAAAATGTACATGCAAGATTTGAAATGAAAGCTCAGTTTTAGTTTCACTCTTTTGGGCCTAAGAACCATGCATGAGCACTAGAATTTAACTTCTTATCAGGGGAAAATTACTTGGAGTTCCTTTTACCTAACTGTGTTTCATTTCTTAATGCTTTCTTAATGTTTTTCATTTTCTTAACCGCTTAAAGCAATCACTAAATGTTTTGGGGAAAAACAGTTAAATAAAAATGCAATTTTATATTATATTTAATTATAAAAGTGATGCATTTTTATCATATCATGTGTTTATTTAGTATTACTGATAAAAAGCTTAGATAATCCTATCCTTACAGAAAAACATTATATTCATTTGCATTTCTGCAAAATGTACTATCATATAAATACTTCACTTTCAATGGTTTTCAACCTGTAGGGTGTATTATAACCACCTGGAGAACTTGTAATAAATACAAAAACCTGGGTTACCCCCTGAAACAATTAAGTCCAGATCTCTGTGGGTTTCAGGGCCCAGCAGGGACCCATGTCTGTGTCTGTATCTACATATCTATTTCTATTTCTATACCTGTCTATAAATAGATTTTAATACAGCTATCTATCTATCTATATCCATACATAATTAACACAAATTCAGAATCAGTGTTGATGTACAAGTTCTCTGGAAATTAAAGAGTCATGTTTAAGATGCACTGATTTCTGTTAAAATACAACTTTAAGCAATAATATTTTTTCCTTATCTTAAGGAAAATAACTTATTAAATTATAAAAATTAGAGTGCATTAAAAATATCCTAGGTGATTAGTGGCTGGGAATCAACAGGATGCTCAGGCGTTCTAGAATCCTGGTTTGAAATAAACTTATTTAAGGTCAGTAATAATTGGGGATAAAGACAATTCTAGACACAAAAAGAAAGTTTTCATATACTATATTGTGTTGTGCCCACCAGTCCTTTAACATTAAATTATTTCTTACCATAAGTTTTATTTGAATTTATTTCACAGGACTGCCACATTAGAAAAAACACCAGATTACTTACATTAAGTCATTTTAAGTAAGAGATTTTAGGATAATAATGTTCTTAACAAAATTATAGTGGACTAGTTCATCAATATTTACGATCTTAACTGATGTAATTTTCTGTACTTCATTTTGTGGCATGTTTCTCTAATTTTTAAATAAAACATTTTACTTGTAATTTTAACCTAAAATATGTTTGAATATTCTTGTCACTACAAGACCACAAGTAGTCTTTTAAAATTTTTATTTCCTTATAAATTATAGCTTTTAAATATTAAAGGAAATGTTACTTTATTTACTTTTATTTAATGTTAGGTATGATGGACTCCACACTTGTAAAGTGAGAGAGACACCCTGACCACACAAATAGGCTTACCTGATATTTAAGCATGTCCACATTGTAATATGTAGCCTGTGGCTTTTGTTCGGACACTTTCTTTAGGTGAGTCATCAAATTTGGCATGTTTACCCAGAATTCCTTGGTATTGGCATCATTTTGGGTATTATCACTATTTGATCAGGAAGAAAGAATGACTGAGTGTGATCTTGTGACAAATATAAATGACACAAAAAAGCATCTTAGCAAATTGTTGTCTGATTTCTACATCCACCTTTGACAATTTGCAGGCATTGTATTATTAATGGCAGTATGGTTTTGATTCAAGTGCAGTTGTGAATGGTATTAAGTTAATAGATTAATACCTATAGAGAGGCATTATTGTTTTGCTATAAATCTCAGCAAGAACCCAGTAGTATTAACCAATCATGATGATAACTGGTTGCTTTAAAGAATGAATTATTTATTAGCCCAAACTTAATAGCTCTTGCTATATCACCATGGTTTTCTCTTAGTTAACGCAGTCAAAGAACTGAGTACATCGATTTTCTTTTGAATTGACTCGAACAGTAGTTTCTCAGAAATGTTTGTCTTCAGCGGAGAAGAAAAGGGCAATACTAAAATTACCATGTTACATTTTTAGCATTCACAATATTTCACCTGAGAACATCTAAATCGTACAGTCACTTCTCTTATGAAATGACCCTGGAATTTAAATGATAATTATCCTAGTAGTTACAATAGACAAGTACAGTCTTGATAAACTGAGGAATTTGGCATTCTTATGAGAAGCATTAGCTTTGCTCAGAGGCCTGTCCATAGGTCACACCCAATGTATCTTGAAAATGCTTGTCTCAGTGACAAAAAAAAGTCACACAGGAGGGTGCAAAGCATCTGCTCACTTCCCACACAATGAGGAAACTGAGAACCCAAGTGATTCAGTAATCTGACACACAACTCAAGTTTAGTGACATTTCACTTTGACTATCCTATATAACACGATAATAGTAGCTACAGATTTTTGAGTACCTATTATGTGCTAGGTGCTCATAGATACCTTAGAAATATTTCATTAAAATCTACCTGCAAAGGAAGAATTATCTTCCTTTTTAAAGGTGAGATGTTATAAAAAGAGAAAATTAGAGCTTAACAAGACAGAAGAATTGTAGCGATAATGTGATAAAGGCAGGTTAAAAGTAAGTTATTATAATTCAGCCTCCAGAAGTCTGACAAATCCAAAGAGCTGAGTCAAAAACCATCAGGACCTTAAAATTGCTACTGGCCTGCTAGCGGGGAGTGGTTGTGGAGGCCAAGTCTCAGCATGAACCATGAGGTTCTGCAGGGCCCTGGTCTAGGATGGTGAGAACACAGCAAAGGTATATATGACTGGGGAGGCATGTAGGAAATGAATGGAAAAGAATCCAGGCCCCTGAGACTTTGCCTCTACTCACGCTGAGCTAACAATGCTAATAAGGGCTGTATAAGGCATCAGAGTTACCCAGAGCTTCCAGAGCTGTAGCTACACAAGGAGGCCAGGGATAAAAGTAATTGAGAGTCAATGAAATGAAGTAATTTGCCTAAATTGGAACAGCTAATGAGTAACTGAGTCAGGATTCCAGCTCAGGTCAGTGTTACTACAGGTCATACTTTCACATTATACCACAACAGAGGTACAGAATTAATATCCAGCAACGTGTCGTTAATTTGTACTAAACAGATCTGAATCATCAGGAAAATTTCGATTATGCTATTTTTTAAAGAAATGCATTTACTAAGTTTAATAACAAAATAGGTCACATGTCTATGATAATCCCTCAGAGAACTTGCTTTAATAAGTGTTCAAGGAAGCTTTGCTAATCGAGTGCTTACACAGAGGTGCAATTCTTAAATGCTCAAGAAGTCTTGAGAATTCTTTAGTCTCATAATTGGCTTAACAATTGTTCCTGAAAATCCTTTACAAGCAAACCCCTTTCATAAGGGAAAAGTTGGTCCCTGTCATAAGGATCACAAACCCAAATGTCTCCGGGGGCCAAGCTGTTAACCTAAATGAAGCCTTTTAGTAAACATAAACAAGAGACTTGGCTGGAGGTGAGACTGTAGCTGTTACAAGGCGTGCATGGCATTCAGGAGTGAGGCTTGGTTACACTGACCTTTAAAGATGAGGGGGGCAGTACTGGTGGTTGAGCGGTGCTACACACCAACACCAAATAGGCCATGTGACTAACAGGTAACCAATCACAGACTGATTCAATGATCGGATATTTAGAGTAAGGTCCAAATTAATGAGGACTTTTGTTTGTTTGTTTTAGCAAATAATAAAAGACTCTACATAATTTTTGTTAAAGAAAAATATTCTCAGAGTGATGTTTAATTCAATTTGTAAGACAGATATATTAACATAAGTATAAAGTTCCTGCATATATGCCTAAAAACCTGGCAACATAACTACCTGAAAATGTAACAAAAGCTATAACTATCACACCAGTCATGTTTACAAACATGCTGGTGAAACAGAGGCACATAATTCCTGATTTCGGATGGAGGAATCTCGAAAAAAAAATTAACTAGCTTAAAGTGCACCAAAAACATGGAGGGAAACTGAATTAAGAAGTTTCCAATTTCCAATCTCAATCATTTCACATTTATTCTTCATTTAATGGATGATCATTACTTTCTCACTTTTAAACTTGGAACTGAGTTTGGCAGTTCAGTGAAGCCATGGCAAGGACCCAAGAGGAAGAAACGATCTGGGCAAAATCACCCAAAAGACCTGTGACTGTGTTTTCACCCCTGGAAAGAAAAAGCCTCATTTGGGAAAGAGAATGAGTGACTATACTGGTCCTCAAATTCCAAATACCAACAATCTTTAGTTATTTCTACATAATTATCTGGCTTGATAAATTCTTTAAATTATGGCTGAGTTGTTCATTCATTCAACAAATATTACTCAAGTCTTTCTTAGATGCCAGGCACAGAGGATGGTTCGGAGGATACGGAGGTGAACTAATAGATGTGTTCATTCGATAATGGATTTTCCATTTGAGTGGGGAAGTAGATGAATGAAGAAATACCAACAGATTTCTAATGATTAGTTTTAGTAAGTGTGACAAAAGGTACCTGGAGAGAGAATAATGAGGGGACTTGTTTAACAATTTAGTTTGGGTGGGAAGTGGGGAGGAGAGTGAGACGGTTGAGGGAGGGGGAGAGGAGCGGAGGATGAGTAGCAGTCAGGCAAAGCAGGGCGGAAACAGTGTTGGAGGCCGAGGAAACAAGCACACAGAGTCTTTTTGTGGGAAAGGACTCAGTCTGTTTCTAAGACTGGCAGGTCTGGCTGAAGCTACAAGGATTCTGATGCAGGATGATGGGAGATGAGGATGGAGAAGGCAAGGGTGGATGACATATGGTCTCAGAGGCGATGGTAACAAGTCTGGATTCTGGTACAGATGCAATGTGGAGCCTCTGGAGGACTATGAGCAAGGACGACATGATTCACCCCATACAATGTCATTTGGCTGTTGTGTAAAAAATGTAGGAGAGAGGCAAGACTGAATGCACAGAGGGAGGGAGGAAAGCAATTGCAGTGGTCCAGCAAAATGACAGAGGTCATTTGGATAACGGAGGTCACAATAAAGGGAAAATGTGGCCACTTTAGAGAGAAATTTTTATATGGAGTATCAGGATTTGATAACACTGCCAGTAATTAACTTGTATAGTTAATTGTTTTTAATAGCATGTGTGTGTGTATGTTTGTGTAAATGTACTTGTGTGTATATATGATAAGGACATCATATTTAGATGTAGTAGGAAGAAAATGTGAAGAAGTATATCCAAACAAATACACATTATCTTCTTTGATATAATAAATGTACAGTTCCATCAAAACAATTACCATTACAATGAAGTTATATTTCACAGAAAAGATTTTCATACTCATGTGAAGAGTAACTAACAGTTCAAGTACCATTTGACTTTAAAGATGCTAATACAACAAATGAATTTTATTCCTTTTATTGGGTTCATTTGCCACCATCCTCATCCATTGTCTACTGAAGACCAGTAAAACTGACAATAAAGGAATAGTCACTAATACAGGTTTTATTACTCTAAATGTCTCTCTAGCCACTTGAAGTAGTCAGCCACTGAAATACATATGTGCCCACACACAACCACGAAATACTTTGAGAGCTGGTAAAAATTCTGAGTTTGCATCCACACACATATCTGAGTAGCAGTGACTGCTTTACAGTGTTACTCCCTTGCTAAGGTTTATCCCTCCCTCATCTATGTATAAAGTTACATAGCTACACTAAGCTACACACATGTCTAAAAAATCTGTACAAAATATATTTACCAGCAGAGAAGTTGGGGATTTGGCAGGACGTGTTCTAACCTGCTGAAATTTATCACCCGAAAAGTCAGGGCAGCTGGCGATGGGTTGTTGGCAAAGTGTCTGGTGATGCCGGCAGGGAAGGACAACACCATTTCTCCAGTAATCTTCACGATACATCTGGCACGTCAAAGCACATAAGAGGAAAGAGAGAGGGAGCCCAGGTCAGTAAGCTATGAACCAAGACAGCTGTGAAGAAGACTGATGTAACAGTATCACATGGACTCACGGACGTGGACAACAGTGTGGTGGTTGCTGATGGGGGACAGGTATAAGGGGACTGAATGGTACTGAAAAAAATACAATAAAGATTCGATCATTGCCCAGTCATCTAAAAAAATGAATAAATAAACAAATTGCTCAATGTTATCACACTATTCACTGGGACTGTAGTTCTCTTGAGGACATGACTGCTGCCTTGAGTGAGCTCTTTTGTGTGCTCCTGAGGTAAACCTGAGCTTCCACCTTCATGGGTCCTCACTCCATTAACTCTGTTTGGATGAAATGGTAACATCAGCTAACACATAAGTTAACACAGTAGAATAACAATTTAGGAGGAAGAATAATTCTTTTCTTTTTCAAAAAAAAGCTTTTTTTCAAGGTATAATTGACATATAATAAATGACATATTTATAATGTAAAATTCCATAATTTTTGACATAGTAAACACATGTGAACCCTCACACATTCAAGATAATGACCTATCAACTCATGAGTTTTTGTAATCCTCTCTCCTGCCCCTCTCCATCCTTCCACTCCTCATCCTTAGGCTATTGCTAATATGTTTTCCAACACTATGCATTAGTTTGCACTTTCTACAAACAGAATCAGAAAGTATGTGATTTTTCCTTGGGTTTTGCTTCTTCTACTCAGCATAATTATTTGGAGAGTCATACATGTAGTGTAACCATCCATAGTTCATGACTTTTTATTGCTGGGTAGCATATGGATAATACCGTAGGTTTTTGGAAAAATCCATTTGCCTGTGAGCATTTGCATTCTTTCCAGTTTTGGCACACTACAAATAAAGCTGTGATGAATGTGTGTGCACAAGTCCTTGTGTGGCTGCACGCTCTCACCTCTCCTATACAGGAGTGGAGTCACTAGATCACATGGCAGGTGTACCTTTAACTTTTTAAGTGACTGCCAAACCATTTTCTAAAGTATAACACACAGCTGTGTGAGAGAGGTCCAGTCGTACACATGCTCACGAACACTGAGTAGGGTCTTTTTAATTTTTGCCATTCTAACAGGTGACCAGTGGCATCTTGTTTTCATTTTCTTCCCTAATGGCTAATGATCTTAAGCATCTTCTTGTGTGCTTACTTGTCATCATTTAACTACTTTGGTGAAATGTTTGCACCAATTTTGTGCCAAGTTTTAAATTTTAGTCTTCTGTTCTCTTATTGATTCTGGGAGTTCTTTATACATTCCGGATACAAATTGCTGATCAGATACATGCTTTGTAAAGATTTTTTCCCCAAGTTTGTGGCTTGTTTTTTTCTTTTTCCTAAGAGTACCTTTGAAAAGAAGTTTTTAATTCATCTATTTATTTTTATGGGTTGTAGTCAATCGATTTACTCTTTTGGGGTCCTATCTTTGCCAAGTCCAAGGTCACAGAACTTTCAACTATATTTTCTTCTGGAAGTTTTTTAATTTTAATTTTTACATTTAGCTTCATGATCTATTTTTTAGTCAACTTTGTACAAGGTGTGAGGTATGGATCAGGTTCAGTTTTAGTGTGTGGATACGACTATCTAATTGTTCTGGCACCATTTGCTCTAAAAAGACAATTCTTTCTTCACTGAATTTCTCCGGCTGGTGATTTTGTTTAAGTTCAGTGGTTCATGTATGTGTGGACTTTTTCTGGGTTCTCTTTTCTGTCCTATTGGTCTATTTTATCTGTCTGTACACCAATACTATACTGTCTTTATTACTGTGGCTTTGTAATAGAAATCACGTAATGTTATTCTAACAACTTTGTTCTTGTTCAAAGTTGTTTTGGCTATGGTAGGTCCTTTGCACTTCCATATGAAATTTAGAATTACTGTGTCAATTTATACATAAAATCAGTGTAGCTCCAATTTACCTGTCACTGCTAGCTGTGAGAAAATTAATAACGGGCCCTTTATACATTTTTTTCTCTGCCAGTAGACACCATATTAAGCTTCGTCATTAGAGGGCGCTGGAAAGACACTGTAGGAGGACAGGATTTTCCTTTCTGGGTCCAGTGTGCTTGCTAGGCAGGCTCCTGCAGTCTACACAGCTTATCTAGTGCTGGGCTCCCAAAGTGCCTGTGGCACCTCCAGTGCATGGGTATTGCAGCCCATGAGCCTTTGTTGGCGCCCAGCAGCACAGTAACTTCCTTAGCATCTGACTCCTGTAGGGCATGTAGCTGGGCTGCCCCAGTGCCCTGATCCCACAATGCAAGTGAAATTTTCGGCTTCAGGGTCCTGCTGTGTATGCACCTTCTCCACAGCCAGCTACTGCAGTGCATGGTGGCCAGCCATGCCACTAGCTTCCTCTGGCATCCCCCTCAGTCAGTCTTGTAGTGGAGTATCTCAGTGAGACACGTCCCCATGAACAGCTGGGCATCTGCTGGGCAATCCTTATGCCATGGTCTGGAGACTCTCAAAGAAGTAAGCTGCGCCAATTATGTGGCAATACCTAATCCTTCCAGAGTCACTGTCCTTTGCAAATCAGTGCTTTGTATATTTGTCTGCTTTCCAGGGGTTTTTAGGTGGAAGAGTAAATTAGTCCCTGCTACCCAACCTTGGCCAGAAGCAGAAATCTCAAAAGGATTGTTTTTCTTTGGGAAAGAGTAAACATATAAAATGAGTGAGTTATTTATAATTTCTCCATACATCTGGACAACTGACTATTGTAACAGTTCTACAACTTTAAGTTCAGAAATGTACTTTCCAGGGAAACTGAGGTCAATGAATTAAAATGTTGCTCATGCCCAAGTACAGAGAACTCCATTGGTCCAGTGTACTCTGTATACTGCAGAGCTGTGTTTGGAGAAATACGTGAGGCTCAGGTGAGGTGGTCCTGGGTCACAGTCAAAATAGCTTATATGAAGAACTTCTATAGGCTTGTATATACAGGGCTAGGTTTGGGGTAGAGGTGGAAAGCACATGAGCTTCCTAAATATGCCGTGTGCTACCCCTCCCCTCAGATGTCTTCATCTATAACTGTGCACTACTCTGAATGAGAATTCTGGTTTCTGGAAGTTAGTACCTCCTCTCTTCTGTCGACTATCGATGAGCTCCCAGTTTTGGTGCCTGCTCTGCAGGCTTCCTTCTCTATCTTTAGATCCATAAACCTTGCTTGATTTACTGGTGCTAAGCTGGTGCAGAGCCTGCACTTCATTTCAGGCTGAGTCTACTCTTTACGTTTTATAACATGTGAACACACAGAATATCACTTGACAACAGGTATAATTAGAGCACTTGTTAAATCAGACTTTAGCACGTGCCATCACTGAGCATGTTGTTGTTAGCAGTGTTGGCTCAAACATTTTTTAACTGGTAGGAAAGCTGTTCAGTTTCTTTTCCAGGTTGCTCAAAATGAGATCTAGGCAGTGTCTTGGTGGGGGATCAATTTCTCTTTGAAAGCAAGTCAGTGAGGGGTGGAGATTAGCCAGTAAACATTTATTGACTTCTGTGTATGAGGTTTTTCAGTGGGAGATAATGAGACGAGCACACAGCCCTTGCCTCCAGAGGGCGCACAGTGCTGGGTGAAGAGCAGCAGCAGTCAACCCCAGGCAGTCTAAGGAGAGCCAAGGCTCTCCTCCCTTGCTCGTTTCCCTTGCGTTTCTGAGTCACATCAGGAAAGTCTGGCAGAGTCAGGCTTTTGCTGATTTAGCAATCCATGCAATGTTGAAGTTGATCTGATATTTTTTGTATAAAAGTTAATGTTTTCAACCTATATTCACTAAAGGAAAATCTTTTTTTTTAACCTTAATGATTGTTGTTATCAGTACACATATTATGTGAGTTTGAATTATGGAAATCTAAAATACTCATTAGAGAAATATTAACAAACTTAATTTATGAATAAACTTTGAAGTCATGTGAATCCTTACAAAGGAAACATTTGTCAACAACAGCAAAAGTTCAAAGTCAACTGGCCAAGTGACTTATGAACTGGGTTCTCCCAGAGGCAGTGCCATGTTGGCCCATCAGAAGACGTGCCGGCTGGTTTTGGCCAGGGAATACATGGATTTGACTTCTGTGAGGTAACCTCACATTAAATGTGATTTCTAAGTACTGCTTTGATAACTAAGCTCATGGTCTTCTTTTCAAGCAAACATACCTCTGTGCATATGTAGCTTCCCTTATAATCCCTTTCGTTGGCTAGGTACTAGGCAAACTCTTTTTCACATTTCAACACTCAATTCAAAAGCAGTCCTTTCTGAAGCCTTCCTTAATATCCTTTCTATTCAACCTTTTTAATTTTTCCTTTCTCTAGTTTCGGTGGACATCTGTACAGATTTTTTTCTTTTGAAAAATATTTTGTAGTTTCTCGCACACATCTTACCTACTACTATTGTGAAGATAGGTAGTGTGTCTTAGGTTCTTGGACAGCAAATGTACATAACACAGAAGCCAGGGCAATTGTTTGGTGTACCCTGGCACACCAAACAATTATACACAGGGTGCCTATTTGATGTACCAGGGATGATGGGATGCACTACAATGAGAAACAGGACAAATGTGGTCCTTGCCCAAACCTCCACTTTAAGCAGGGAGACAAACACTGAAATAACCAAAATATGATGATGAAGGAGGGACAGAATATAGCTGAGAATCCTAAATTTTTCTAGGGGATTAGAGAATTAATCTCTCATACCGGGGGTATTCATGTAGGAGCTAATAATGGGAGATGGGTTTTCCCAGCCAGCTGCAAAAGCCAAGGAGTTCCATGCTTATGAGCTACTGAGAAACACTCAGATGTCAGAATACCTGTTACAGGTGTTCTGAATAATCAGGGAAAAAGTGTGATTAAATTTAAATAGATTGTATATCATAGTATGAAATAATTAAAGCAGCAGACTTCTGTTTCCAGTGTATTGCCTGTACACAAAAAGGGCAGGCTTTATGCAGGATGAGAGGGAAGCACAGGCAAAAGCCCATCCGCATTTCTTTTCTGCATCACTGTGTATGTGGTGCTGTGTTTGGCTTTGACCTCCTCCTTCCTTCCTCCCTCACCCCATGATCAAACTTTTGAACTTCATTTATTTCCTTGAAAGTGAATAACAAAAGAACAACAACTAAAGTGATTCACTGCCTAGAGATGAAGTTAAATTTAGAAGAATGTCACTTCATGATCTGTTCATAAATTTTAGATCTTATAATTTTAAAGAAATATACTGTATTTCCTATCTACCAATATATAGTATATACTATAAATGTTTATGGCAGTATAATTGAAAACAGACTATATATGCAGTCACCCACAAGTCAAAACCTCAGTTCATATTGAAAGGCATAGGAAAAACACTAATATTAATTTGGCTTGACTGCCAATACAGGTTTCATTATACGAACTGGGGAGTGGGGCAGGTGAACACAAGCCTTCAGCCTATAGCACTATGTTTTACCCATGTGGTGTATATATACAACATAAACTCATGGTGCCTGCATGCTCTAACAGTTCAAACTCATACATTTGTATGAGGTAGGTTTTAATTTCTATTGATAGGAGGACAAGGCAAATGAACTTCCTGCTTTGAAGATGAAGAAAGGACATGTGATAAACCAGAGTGCCAGACACCGAAACCTAATGCTCAGTGTGATAGTATTTGGAGGTGGGGCCTTTGGGAGGTAATTAGGTCATGAATGAGATTAGTGTCCTTAGGAAAGAAAGAGACCCCACAGAGCTCCTTAGACCCTTCCACAGTGTGAGGTTATATGGCAAAAGACTGTCTATGAACCAGGAAGCCAGCTCTCATCAGACACTCAGTCTGCCACCTCCTTGACCTTGGACTTCCCAGTCTCCGGAGCTGTAAGAAATAAACTATCCTGTGTGTGATGTTCTGTTATAGCAGTCCAAATGGACTAAGATACCACAGTCCACAGTGTTTGTTTTTCTACAATACTCTGGGCTTAGAATAAGACCTAGATATTTAAAACGACATGACCCTTAGGATGGTTGACAGATCTTTGAGGTAGAGATCTATCAAGGTTTGTCCTTTGTTTATCCATCAAATTCAGACCTGAATTCTACTACAAGTGGAATGTGTCTGCTACAACTGACACAAGTGGAACCTAGTTTGCCTTGGGTATTTAGTCTTAGTGTAGGCCAATAATCACTTTTAACTGTTTTTTCTTTCCTCCTTTTCATGGCTCATGAACCCTTATGTGACACTCTCTATGGACAAATGCACATATGCACACACACATAAGATAAGCAATATAATTCCAGGAAATCCATAGACTTCCTGAACCCTTTCCATGGAACTCCTTATATGGAGACAAAATATGTAATTATATCACATATACACTCAGATCAAGTCCCCTGCTAGTATGTACCGATGTAAATGAAATCAGGTTCTTGTAAATAGAAAGTGGTGCATTTTCCTCTAGAATATTTACTTTGCTGTGATTATAAATTTTTTGGCCAGTTTTTCCTTACATAGTAAAGGTAGCATATAACTTGTTCTCTTCCCTGGGTGTTATAGGAAGTTTAAAAAAATATTCTAACACAATGCACCATCATTTTGGTTTATATGTAAGTGATTCCAGTCTAGAAAAGATGAGGGTGATAAAAGACATGATCTGGACATTTAATTTTGTGAGATAATAAATTTTCTCACAGGGTTGAGTTAGGGTTTTCTGTTGCTTGCAAGCAAAACTAAATCAGAGATCTCTGGATAGTAAAATATTAGGCTATTGAAATTTTTGGATCACTTTTTAAAAAGCAGTGAATTAATACTTCTAATTATATCTTCCCTTCCATTCTAGGTATGCCACTTGTTAATGTCAGCTGAACTTCTTCTGGTTTTCGGACAAGGAACTAAGTAGTTGTACTTAGGGTATTCTCCAGTGAGTAAGTCAGAGATTGGGAACGACACTGGACCAAACCCCGGGCTTACTTGCTTGGATCGGCTCCTTTGAAGTAGGCATTGACTGTTTCTGTAAATGCTGCTGCAACAGGCAAGGTGTCCTGGGCCCCCATGGTTAGCGGACTGGGCCCCCTGGAAGAACCTGCATGAAATGAAAAGCTTTCATTAATGTCAGCATAAAAGGCATTTAAGTATATGTGGAACTATACTAAAGGATTAAAGACCGACAACTACTACTGAAAAAAAGGAATGTGCTAAGAACAATAACTCTATATTCAACATAAAGCTCAAGTATTGAAAAAGAAATATTTGGCTGGTTTACAGACAAACACACTTGAAATTAATTTGGTTGTGTATTTTATTACAGGAAAAAATCCAAGCAGAAGAATGAAGTCCTAGGGGTTTTCAATGTTTGGCATAAAGCATAAGGCAGTATTTGCATGACAGTTTGTACAGCAGGTAGTTAATAAAGAAGATCATTAACTTCCTATATGAGCTTTCACCCTATGCAATTGCCTGTAAAACTTGTAGCATTTCTTCATATTAAAGAGACAAAAAGCCATGGAGTACTATGTAACACACTGTCCTTTTCAGGAGTATTTTCATTCCAAAAATTCTGGGTCATTTCTCAATTATCCTAAGACCAAGTAGGCTTAAGCTTACATGTCCAAAAAATGCACAATCAAAATGTACACCTCGACTTAGCACAAACACATAAATGCACTGATTCACACTATTAAAAATCACAGCAGTGCTCATGTTTATTGAACATCTACACTGGCACTGCACTGGATACCCTACATGGATAATATCATTCAACCCCACATCAGCTCTGTGGGATAAGCATTACTATTCCTAGTTTACAGAAGAGAAAACTGAAGCTCAAAGATGTAAGTGACTTGCTCAAGACAATAAAACTAGTTAAGTGGCAAAACTAAAATTCAAATCTAGATCTGCTACCCTATAGGGCTCATGTTTTTCTTATGTCATACAGTTTGTTTAAATGAAACATTTTCTTGTATGGTTTTAATATAACTTGAGGTTTCTAAAAGGAACAAGGTTTAGGATTGTTAACTTTGTCATCAGTCTCTAGGCATGGTGCTGAACAGTACAGTTTTAGTAATTCCTAAGTATTTAATTATGCCCCATGCTAACGCTTTGTTCCTATCAGACAAAAACAAGTACTTGTCCCCACCCCATCACAGACTATATGTTATGCTTCTTCCTTTTATCGTCAGTGACTTAAGCACCTTTGTCCTATTCTCTAGCTATGAAAAAAATCTACCCTTTGTATATCTCACTCCTCAATAAAGTTCTTGATAATTCTGGTTCATGCTAGTCTCTTCTTTTACTAACGTTCCTTGGCTTTTAATGTCTAGTCTTGGTAACTCTTTTTTTTCTTACTCTCTGCTAAGTAAGCCAATGTGGCGGCTATTGCTATAGTCTGGATGTTTATGTACCCTCAGAATTCACATGCTGAAGACCTAATACCCACGGAGATGATATTAAAAGGTGGGGCCTTAGGGAGATGATTAGGTCATGAGGGTGGAGCACTCGTGAATGGGATTAGTGCCTTTATAAAAGAGGCCCCAGAGAGCTAGCTTGTCCCTTCTCCCATGTGAGGACACAGTGTGACTTCGACAGCCTGCAACTTGGAAGAGGGCTTTCACCAAAATCCAATGGTGCTGGCATCCTGACCTTGGTCTTAAAGTCTTCAAAACTGTGAGAAATCAATTGTCGTTGTTTGTAAGCCACCCAGTTTGTGGTATTTTATTATAGTAGTTGTAACAGATGAAGACACGCAGTCCAATCCAGATCTGCCTTCATGATCCACCTCCTCCGGCCCCAGCAACTCTCTCCTCTGCTATAGTCACTTCTACACTCACTCCTACAGAGACTGCAGGAGATTTATCATAATGTCGGGGAAGGAGGAAACACCCAAACTTCACAAAGAACCCCTTTATCTTAAAGGATCCATGATTTAGAACTAATTTCTTTATATCCCTTTACATTGCAATTAATATGTCATTTTTTATTTTACTTCTTTCATTTATTACATAATTTTCCTTATTTCTATCTGGTCTACATAGCATTTTTGACAAGTTTATATTATTCTACAAATATTCTCCAAACATTGAGCCACTTCTAGGTAGCAGTTATTTTAAATCCATCTTTTTATAAATTGGTCTCCTTTTTCTTTTTAATTATTTTCTTAAGATGTAGTTTTATTACTACAAAGTGGAATAACCAAACCATAGGCAGATGCATTTTGACTACTAAGAATGACAGATTATTTTACATAAAGATTATAGTTAATTAAAATGCCATTAGTAATAAATGGAGGGCTCTGTTCCCCTGCAGTACACCTTAGAGAATCTTTGTTAATACTATTATTAGAAAACTGGTTGAAATCAGAAGAGAATCTAAGATGGTGAAAATTCAAAAATCATGGCCTTAGTGGACTAAGAGGGGACTAGAGACTATTTTGAAATATCTGAAATAATATCCACACATTGACTCCAGGGACAAGAGTTCATGGTCATGGATCTGCAAGTTAATAGCATTGTGACCCTAGGCAATTCAATGAACTTTAACCATAGAATGAAGGCAACAAAACACATAATATCTGTGTTTTATAGTTCTATAATTTTTAAGTTGTTTACAAGTACTTAAAAAAATTAAACAGTAGGAACAACTTCCTAATAGAGAAATAAGCTGCTTTGAGAATAGTATCTCTTCATTGGAAGTCTGAGGGGATCCGTCAAACGTGTGCTGAGCCTCTACCATGTGCAAGACAATGGTGGAAACACAAATATGTAAACTCTCCAGAAATAAGACATAAACATATGGGAAGTTTTATAACAGTAATATATGCAAACAAGAGCTTAAGTTAATAAAGTGGTAACACTGAGATTTTCTTTTACCCAGGATCAATAGCCAAATAAGCAGTATAAGGGCACTGTCCTGTGACTTAACAAAGGAAACTTGGGCCCTGAAGTCATACAGACTTAGCTGTGAATCCTGGCTCCTCCACTTAACAGTCTGGATGACCAGGAGTAAGCCATTTAATTTCTATGCTCAGTTTCCTCATCTTTAAAATAGAATAAATAATAGTATCTATGTTAATGGCTTGTGGTGAACATCAAGTGGGATACTATTTGTGAAGTCATTAGCATGGCATGTACTCAAGAAATATTGTTATTGTCATTTTTGTAGCTGTTATTTCATCAGGGTAAAATTTATTCAGGTTGTTGAATTAAAGTTGGTTCATTGAAGTATTTTGGTAAGAAATGAAGGGAAATGATACCACAAATGGCTTTCTTCAAATGAGCATGGAGCTAGTCTAGAATTTTCAGGTTTCTTCCACTACTAAAATTCTGTTATCAAAGACCAATGAATTTTATGCATTTATGCTTAATTTTTTTGTATATTACCTAGGTGGTTATTGTATCTCAAGTTGCTTGGACCAATAGGAGATAAAAGTTGAGTGAATGCATATTTGTCTTTTGATCCATTCAGGTGTGAGTTCCTGCAATAATTAGACATGGTACTAGGTGCTGAGGGACACACAGAAAAGTCTAAGACATGCCCTTCCCTTCACAGAGCTTATAATATGGAGGGGGACTATAAGACAAAGCACAATATACAGTTAGAAAATAGTTTAATATTATAATTTTGATATTATTATTATTTTTAAAGAATTCAAAGTAGAAAAAAACAGTTTTATGATGTCAGTCCTTTAATAAAATAAAATATCAGACACTAATATGGCTTTATGTTCTTTACAGATTGAAAGGATAATTAGGTTCAGTACAATTATCTCTATTTCATTAGCCAGAGGTCACTCTGTTAGTAAGCAACTAAGCTGAAAATCAATCCTAGGTCTCCTGGCTCTACCAAAAACAGTATCAACAACAAAACTTCTGAAGTTTTTACCAAGAATTATTCAAGGAGCTTTACTTATATTAACTCTTAATCCTGATAATATCCCTAGAAAGCTACTATCTTTATTAACCTTGCTTTGCACATGAGCAAACTTAGTTTTAATTTATTCAGTAGCCTTGCCCATAGCCACCCAGTTAGTAAGCAGCAAGAACTGAACAGGGATGCCACTTCTAAACAGGACTGCCTGACTCTGGATCCCACACTCTTGCCTACTCTGCTCTAGGAACAGAGTTAGAACAAAATTATATAGGCATCTGATGGCGCATTTGAAGTAGCCCAGAAAGGTGAGTAGCTGCCGTCAGCTTGTGGAGTTCTGACAAAATAGCAACTTCAGAATCCTGGAAAGCAATTGGCATGCACACTTAGGGAGTTCTGAGTAATGAAGAAAAGCACCCAGAGTCTTCAGCGTATGAGGATATTTTCTGAAAGGCATTTTTCTGTGACTCTCATTACCAAGCAAGATTACACACACACACACACACACACACACACACACACACACCCCTTAAAGCTAAAAAGAAATTCCTAATAACAGTATTGAAATCTTTAAAAGATAGGCCCTTAATTTGTGAAAGCATTTCTTGAGTAGTCAATTGAAATATAAAGGTGGGTATGGGGTACAGACTGTGTATATAAAATGTCAAAGGAAAAAAAGAAGGGAGAGAAATTTTTAAAGAGAAAGATTAAAAAAAGAAGAGCAGAATACCCAGATACAGAATTGAGTAAAAGTACATTCAAGTTTACAAATAAATCAATGTTTGCATCCTGAGTTTAACGAAGACACCTCATCTCACGCCCTTGCTGGTTACTGCATGAAAGTGAAGCAGTAATCAAGGCAGGTGAGTGACCTTTACGTCCAGGAGTAAGAATGCCGGAGATGAGACAGACGTAAGCAACAGGAAGTCTCAGAACGTATAAGAGAAGAGAGAAGAATGGGAGTTGGATAAAGCAGCAGAGAGTGGAGATTGGGTTAGCTTAAAAAAAAAAACAGATATTAGATGAAATTAATAAAAATAAATTATATTCAATTCTATGATAATTTATAGAGTACATTCTGTATAAAGTCATATTGAATTAAATTTAAATCCTGACTTCATCATTTCCTGTGTGACCTTGAACAAATTACTTAACCTCTCCAAAGTTCAGATCCATCATTTTGTAAAAATGGAGACAGTACCTTCGACATTGGTTGTGAAG